GAAATAGGCCATCCCTCGTATTAGAAAAGGTGAATCACAAACCATAAATCCCTTTCCAGGAATGTGAAAAATGAATCATAGTTTGGGATCCCTGATTAAGGCTTAGGATTGCCGGAGATGTGATAACTAAATTGGAGGAGGCTTTAAGTAGGAAAAATCTCCAAGAAGAGAGGAAGCCCTGGAATGTGACCTGCATCTCCCAATCCTGGCCACATTTGTCCCAAATGATGTGCTTTGAGACCTCTTCAGTCTCCCTGAAACCAAATTTTATTTTAGCCCCCTGGAGCCCTGGTTTCTGGCGGGGGGCATTGCCAACCTGTGAACACCTCAGGACACATAGAGCAGTATTCTCTCTAGGATGAAAAGGGCTTGTGTTGAATCTGTCAGGGTAGGAGGGGAAAAATGCCTCTGGGAATCCAAGTCTGTGGAACTGGCTCAACAGAGAGGTGTGGATTTATAGGCAAACATGATGGCATAGTGAGGGAAACCTGGCCAATTTTGTCTTAAAAGAGTAGTTATGTTTGAGGTTGCAAGGCCACTATATTTTAAGGATGTGCGAAATCTGATGGAATCTTGCTTGTCCAAGCCTGCATGACCCAATTTCCTTACAAACTCCTAATTTCCTAGTTTATGGCCTCTAATCCCGGGTGAGCTCTCGCTCACTCTCTCGGGTTTAAAGCCCTGCTGAAGAGTTCAGCCTTGGACCGGTTGTCCTCTCTGAGCATTTCCCCACTTATTGGAGTCACAATAGTAATACTTGAGGTAATTATGAGGATGGAATGAGAAAACGTGTCCAGAGGAGCATCTATAAAATCAGGATAGTGTTCTCTTTCCTCAGGGTATAGGGAAGATTTACTTTAAAGTGAGTTATGAGAAACCAGTTTAATACTTTACAAATGTTAAGTTTAAAAAAAAATCGTAATTATTTGGAATCTTACTCATCTCCTCTCTGGCGATTGGAGAACTTGCCCTGGTTTGGGACAGTGAGTCAAGCTCCTGCAAGTCCCCGCGCCCCCGACGACAGGGCAGAAAGGGTGGGCAGGGGACGGAGCTCAGCATTTATTTTTGGACCCCGCTCACTAAAAATACCTCGGTCTTCCCGTTTGGTCACGCTCCCCTTCGCCCTGAATGGATCGCGGGGACCCCGC